TTTCTTTTGTTGTTTAGCTCTGATGAAGCTCTATCCATCAGGCCCACCAATAAGTGCTTGTTACTTTTTACACCTCCCTTTCTTCATTTGTTCAATACTTTTTCCCTGTGCCATTCCCCATTATTACAAATAACATCATTTCTGGACATTTATGGTTTGATTTCTTTGTATGTATGGATCACTTGGGTTGTTACCGACATCTGGTGAAAATTTCACGTCATTAGCACCTCTAGTAATATATTTACTGAGAAAAATGGTGACGTGTTCAATACTTATTTTACCCGCTGTATTTCAAATATCTGCTCTCTAAATGGGAACAAGTCAGTGTTGGCTGCTATGTTTCTTCTATGATGTAACTTTTTATTTCAGAGTAAGAAATTTTGGAAGGCGACTTGTCCAGAATCAGTCTTGTCACGTGGTGAAAGTTAGTTTAGTACAAACCACCTGACATCATTCCATTCTCTCACATATGGCAGCAGACTTTAACCTCGGCCTTTTTTCATTTGTTTTCTGTATTTGTTGAGTTTTAAACAAAGAACACACATCAAAAACAACTACATGCTTGAAACATTTTCCTGAGCTGACATTCAAAGACTAATCTACAAATTAGCTAATGGAGTGGTGTCAGCACTCTCTGGTAATCTGAGAGGGAAATAACAGATCAAGGTTTGTCATTTTGCAAATTAAAAGGAGAACAAGAGCAATAATTGTAGAAACTTCTAGCTCAGCTTGTCTTTAGTGGACTTGTTATAAATGAAGCTTCAGAGGACCTTTGTTAAGCCTGGAAACATGACAGTTACCAACTAGGCCTGTTTTAGTAAATGTTATTGTCTTATTGTATGATATATGAAGTTGAGAAACAAAACAAGGACGCCATAAAGTCTGGCATGGGAATGTTCCCGCCCAAATCAAATTAACACCACTAAATAATGAACATATGGAGTATTTAACAGCAGATGACACAAAGACTTGAGGGAATTTTTGGTAATTCCATGTATTGTGGCTTTTCAAAGTGGGGGTGTCCAAGTTAATGTTGTAATATTTGACACTTAAATTGTCCTACAGAGTTCTTGTTGTCATTGGAGCGTGCGGCTGCAGGCTCAGTGAGAGTAAGGTGGGAGTCATGATGGAGGCAGCAGTGCTGGGGGCTCATTAGTGAAAGAATGTGGGCTGAGTGATGGGGAAGGTGCAGAGGCTGGGGGGCTGCTACGGGGAAGGAGTCCTCAGTGCAAATCCTGACCCATGTCAAATGAGAATCAGTGGGTTGATAAATGCTGCAGCCACATGAAAACACTGTGGATTAGCAGATTAAACTTCTTTGGATGAGGCTCTGCCGTTGGCCCTGCTGGGCAGCATTATTCAGCCCCTGTTGAACATGAATAACTGCAATGCTGCACCAACTCCAGCCACTGTCAGGCAGAGAAGTCAGAGAAATTCCAGTGAGATTTACTTTAGCAGTTCACGTGGAGTCAAGAAGCTTTTACCTTGCTGACTCTCCTGCAGAGCAGAAATCTGGCAGCTGCTTATCGTGATAAATCTGCTCCTTCTGCCAGTCAGAGCAGCTGCTTCCTCATGCTGTCAAATCAATATGTGCTGGTATGCATAACTAATAATCCAACTCCTCATGCGGGGCTGACCTACCAGCATGAGAACAGGCAACACAATTCAGAGTAGTTATAATTAAGGGTACAGAACATTTGATGCGTGGTTTGAGCTTTGACCCCTCAAGTGCAGTCAAGTTTTAGGTCAAAAAGAAGCACGTCTCAAATGTGAACTCATGTCTGCACGACTGAAGGAAGTGCCTGGATGGAGCTGCAGAGAGCTCTATTAGATCAGCCACTGCCCACTTTAACAGAAAACACACCCTGACAGTGTGCAAGTGAAACCATAGTTCTGCTCAGAACTGTTCAAAACCAAAGGTGTGTTACACAAGAAGCTGCTGCTGTCATTAGTCCTTCGTGTTTTGGTTACATTGGCCTGTTGTATCTATGTAAACAAGGATTTCCTGTCTTAGTGTGGTATACCAGCCGGGAGTAATAGGGAACAGTGGCAAAGGCAGGAATGCTTAGCTGCACGTTCCTGCTCTCAAACATGTTATGAACTGTTAGTTCTTCCAACAAATGTGCAAAAGTGTGCAACAAACAGCAGATTAGGCCCATCATTAAAGATGGCCTGCAAATCTTTTCCTGTCAAAGGTATTCAAGACCAAAGCAGGACCCACATTCCAGTCCAGAGTCCACCTGATAACTAATCTAATTTACAGTTACAGTTCACATGATAAACACTCATACCGTTATCCGAGTACAAGGAAGGAATTTTACCAGCAGCCTGAATCTGAAGATGAACCTTGAGGTCAGAGGTTCAATCAGCTGGAGTTAGTACAGGGATGTTAACAAGCTGAGCGCAAAGTCTATCAAGCACTCGCTGCTTTTGATGGTACATATCAACATTCCTGCAGAGTCTGTGTCCAGATACTGAAGCTTTCAGTCATTTCAGCACAGAGCAGCACCAAAAAACACTGAAGACAAATGTTTTGTTTATTAATATTTTGCACTGAAAATTTATTGTAATGAACTCCAGAAAATCTTCATACTATAAGCATGGCTCCGTCTTGAAGGTGAAAATTTATTGAAAACAAAAAGATGCAAATCAAGCTGTCAGTGTGGCTCCCTAATAAAATCCACACACCGTAAAGAAAATGCATTCATAAGCACAAACAGATAATCCTCTAATTATTAGTGTGTGTTTGGTGACCTCAACCATGAGCGGAATGACTGACACTGCCAACGTCTTTTCCCCAGATGTTGTTGATACACAGATGTTTATTGGAGCAGAGCTCTTCACAGTTCAGAGTGCTGGACTCTAAAATTTAGCTTTGAATGAATAAACTTTAAATCTGTAACATTGGAGATCCCATAGCACCACCATGTTGTTGAACTTGAAGTAAGTTGTGAAAAGACAAAAGTCCAGTAGGTTACATATCTGGTCCAAGGTGAAATTAGTCCTGTTGTTAAGGTCACTATTCTGTTGAAGATGTTTCCTGACAGTTTCTGTCTCTGATGTGGGTATATGAGTAAAAAGTGAAGGGAAATATATGATAGTGCCATGGGATCTCCAGTGTCACCAGTTGTGGCCAATGGAAAAGAGAACCATGGACTCTTTCAGTGGAACAATTACAGAGCCCCTGGTTCAGATACTGTATGTGAATGACACTTTGGTCAAAATCCAATTGAAAGCAGTAGAAATTTTCTCTAGACAAATCAGCTCTGTGGACAGCAACATCAAGTTCACCGGAGAGGATGCCAATGACAACAAGCTGCTTTTTATGGACTGTTCAGTAAACATGGAACGAGATGGAAGCCTCAGTATTGAAGTTTACAGGAAAGTTAATTCTTTTTGACTCTCAACACCAACTGGAACACAAAGTTTCTGTCATCAGAAGTTTAAGTATGAGAGCAGGGAGAAGGAAGACATTTACATCAGGAGAAAAACTAACTTTAGTTCACACACTTATTCACACCTTCATGCACGTGACTAAAACATCTCTTTCCTGAGCCACGCGGTGTTTACATATATCATTGGTCCAGTATTCTCTGAAAGGACATGTGGCAGTACACTGCATACCTTGTAAAATGTTGTAAAAGGGTGAATTTGGAGGTACGTGACCAGGCGACATGACACTACATGTGGTCAGTGCGCAGGGGTTGCACACCCTCGCGCCGTGTTCAATGTACACCTAGCATAAAGACTCTCCAGTTTAATCTACATGTGAATCTAAGCACTAATGAAGCCTCACATGCATGTCCACAAAGCTTGAAACTCCACACACTCTGAAATTTTGATTTAAGAAAGCCTCTTGGATGGGAAGCATAATGTCTTCAAATTCAGAATAAAAGACCAGTTTTTGCTTTTTGAATCTTTTTGGATTGATCGTGACCTGGATGACAGAATGCTCACCAGCGCAAAGTAACTTTGGCAACGCTCTGTGCTGTAAACCAAAACAATGATAGCTTTTTTGTGTAGAATACATCAAATCAAACATAATCTTTTCCCCAAAAAAATCTATTTGATAAATCAACAGCCATTTTATTTGACTTACAGCTGCTAAACCTTACATTGTCCACAGTATCTGATCTAGAAATGAACATGCGACTGATAAATTGTCTCAAACTCTTTTTCCAGTTTGCATAAACAAAACTACATTAGGTTCTTCAGTCAGCAGTTTTCTGATAGTGTGACAATTTTACAAATCAAAAATTGCAGATTAAACTTCTTTTTGTTACTTTTATCACTTCCTTTTTTCATTGTATTGACTTCAGGATTTTGCCACAGTTAGGAATCACTCTGCTTTTAGTCTGAACACACTGATCGGCCTGTGAAGTAAAACAGGATGGAATTTGAGAAACTGGTCAAATGTACAAACTCCCATTGTGCCAGCTGACCACCCCAGCCTGAATGTTTTCTGAACTACCGGTATGCAATAAACTTGTCTGAGGGAATTCTTGTGCACGAGCTGTCTCCATCTCCTGTTAGTTTGGGTGGCTCATGTAGGAACTGTAGGGAATGCCCTGTGCAGGCTGCCATGCATTGCCTCTTGCTGATTAGGTAAACCCTAATCTGCCAGGCCTCTGTCATCATGCAGGGCAGCTGGTGTGGCAGCTGAGTGAATTCTGTTTGTCTCAGAGGCTTTCCTCTGACTCACACCAGCAAACATTCAAAAGAGGGGAAGTGTGTGTTTGTTTTTGAAAATCACTTTCCTTCCCGTTTTAGATGACTGGAAAAATCACCTCAGCTTTCATTTATGGATGAAGGAACAGAGGTTTTTATTCTGGCACATTTTAGGAGTTTGGATTATAAAAAGATATTTCCATGTCCTACATTCAAAGTGTACAAACTGTAGCTAATGTGGACATGATGATGCAAAATGTAAGTCATCATTACATACACCAGCTGTTTTTCTTATAGCTGTAAAAGAAGCTGATTGATGTTCTACCTTGCAGATTTTTGGGGACACCGAGCCCGTCCGGATGACATCAGAAGGCTCTGACTGCCGCTGCAAGTGCATCATGCGGCCTCTGAGTAAGGATGCCTGCCTGCGGCTGCGGAGCGGCAGCGTGCGTGTAGAAGACTTCTACACAGTCGAAACAGTCAGCTCTGGATCAGACTGTAAGTGCTCGTGCACAGCTCCCCCGTCCTCTCTCAACCCATGTGAGAATGAGTGGAAGATGGAGAAGCTGAAGAAACAAGCTCCTGAATTATTAAAGGTAAGGAGGTTAAGCCTAAAGTTAGCATCAAACCTTATAGAGATTTGTTAATAATGCAAATTCCCATCAAACTGCAGAGGAGGTGCAGTAAAGTGCCAGTATACAAGTACACTTTTTATTACTTGGCCATTATTCTTCCATTTCTGTCACAATTTTCTCCTAACTTGTGTAGATTAAGACCCAGAGGTGGTTCAGTTGAAAGAGAAACAGTTTTACTATTAAAAGACAAAACAGAACCTTAAGATAAAATTATCCAGTTGTAAAAGCAGAGAACCAAGCGATAAGAGCTTAGGTGTACACACTGGGAATCATCCCAACAGACAAGAGTTCTGCCAGACAGCCTGGGAACTATAATTTAGGCAGGTGGTCCAGAAATCAAGCGCGCTGGCAGATGAGTTTAGGTGGGCATGCCTGGGGGAATTTACAGTTAGTGGCCAAGACCATCTTAAATTCTGGACCTGGTACAGGAGAAGCATCCAGCATGGCCCACTCAAGGGCAGGACCCTCTTAGACATAGTACCTGGCACAAGAAAGGCTTGGCTTACTTAAAGACAGGATTTGACTGAGAGATGTCTGCCAAACCATTAAAAAAAGAAACCTGCTGCTACGTGTTCCCTCTGAAAAGGTTATACAGTAAGACCTCTGGCATGGACCTCTTAGACTTGGTCTTGCTGGGGGCACTTGGTGCAGCATTTACTGTAACCCAGGACATTCCAGTGGGCTCTGAAGACTTGGACAGTGGTCTAAGTAAAGGTTGGACCTGGTGGGTGGAAGCTTGGGAACGGATGTCTTGGATGCAGCAGCAGAGGAAGACTCTGGAGGTGTTGGTGCAGAAAACATCTGTGGTCTGTGGTGGTCTGGTGGAGCAGAGTCTGAGCTGCGGGGACTCTTCTACATAAAACACTGGAGACACATCTGGTATACCTGTGATAAACACACACTTCTGACACAAACTGTTCAGGAATTTCTTTCAGTTTGACCTATAGTGACTGTTTGGAAATTTATTTTATAGTTTGTATTTCTGTCTGCCTGTCTCGCGAAGCTTGCTGTGAGAAAGTGACAGACAGTTTCCCATGATGACTAATGAGACTAATGACTAACACTATTTGTCCTTATGGTGTTTTTACAGTAAACATCATAACATCAACATTTTGTCACTTTAGATTAATACAGAAATAAATTCTGGGTTTTAGCTGCATCAACATCTTCCAACATTACTTCAGACGGTTATGATTTTATTTCTTACTTTACTTATTGAATAGAGGAAATGAGCTGGAATCAAGTTTTCATTAAGCCTTTTTCCACACATAATATGGAGTGGCTCAGCTTGCTTAGATACATTTTATTTATTTTGTTTGTTAGTTTCCCTCTGTGGTTATATTTTACAAATTAAAAAATGCACTTTGTGATTTTATTTGTTCAAATTATGGATTAGTGGCCATGGTGATTATTTAAAGTGTCTGTGTTTTACACCCAGATTTCATTACTGTAAAAACTGCTTTCTTTTCCACACACCCACATGCACACATCTACTTAGGGCAGCTTTGTTGTACTTGGGTCAGCATGGTTCCCCACAGCTTTCAATGATAAAAGGCTGATCCTCCTACATGTCGAGGAAATACTCTCTGCTGAAAAACAAAATGGAGAACAGTTGAGTCCAAGAAAGACAACTGAGCAGTGTTGGTATAAGAATAAAAAAAATAAAAAAATTAACAAAAACAAACCTAATTTAGGAAAAAGTAGCTAAATTAGAATGAACTAAAGCACATCTGGTGTTTTAGTATTGTTCAGCTCTTTTTACAGAATAAAAACAGATTTTTACACTGCAGATTAACACAAGAGACACAAAACAAAAGAAGTATTCAGTATTCAGATCATATGACGCTATTTTAATATTTCTTAATAAGGTTTTTTAATGACTGATTGTGTTGAAAAGAAAGATACAACAAAGCCTTTACATCAACATCTCTCTGCTGCTTGCTGAGCGCAGGAAAGATGTCAGTTCAACTAAAGAACTTCTATTTTACTGTCATTCCTGCACTCTATATTTTTATATTTACATACATATTTTATACTGTATTTTTGAAAGCTCAAAACACTGTCCTGAGCCGTATGCAACGAAATTTTGTTTTGTATACACCTTGTGCATGCAACATGACAATAAAGTTTTAAAGTATATAAAGTAGTATAAGTATATAGTATAAAGTTCAGCTTAGTTTATTATTCTTAGTATCACAACAGTTGACCAGAGGTCTGTAAAGCTGCACTCAGGAGATCATAACTGATGCTGGATCTTCTCTTTTTATCCATGAATCATCAGCTCCAATCGATGGTGGACCTCCTGGAGGGGACCCTCTACAGCATGGATCTACTGAAAATCCACTCCTACATCAACAAGGTGGTCTCTCAGATGAACACACTAGAGGAGGTAGGAATGAAACGGTCTCAGAGTTAACGAGGAGATAAGGCGTTTACCTGCTGAAAGCTGTGGTTTTTTTCTTTTAGACAATCAAGACCAACCTTACACGAGAAAATGAGTTTGTCCGGGACAGCATGATGAGCCTCACCAACCAGTTTAAGCGATATGAAAACTACTCTAACGTTATGATGAGCATCAAGAAGGAGATCTCCAGCCTCAGTCTGCAGCTGCTGCAGAAAGACTCCTCAGAGAACAAAGCCCAGGTTAGTGGAGACACAATGTGTGGGGAGTTAAATGGAGGCCAGAGCTTCAGACCAAGGCCATCTTACCTTTTAAAATCAATCTCTTGTGAGAGCTTACATGATTTCAGCTCTAAGGCTGTGTGTAAAGGATCACTCCCAGCTACTAAAACAGAAAATTTTAGCCTTTAAATATTAAACTAGGCATTGGCAGTCCAAGCGGATTGCGGCCCGGGTGGTCGCTGAGGCAAAAACTCGGGTGTGGGAGGAGTTCGGAGAGGCCATGGAAAAAGACTTCCGTACGGCTTTGAGGCAATTCTGGTCCGCCATCCGGCATCTCAGGGGAGAAAAGCAGTTCGCTACCAACACTATTTATGGTGGGGATGGTGCTCTGCTGATCTCAACCCAGGTCGTTGTGGGTCGGTGGGCAGAATACTTCGAAGACCTCCTCAATCCTACCGACATGTCTTCCTATGAGGAAGCAGAGCCTGAGGACCCTGGGTCGGACTCTCCAATCTCTGGTGCCGAGGTTACTGAGGTGGTTAAAAAGCTCCTCGGTGGCAGGACGCTGGGGGTGGATGAGATTCGCCTGGAGTTCCTTAAGGCTCTGGATGTTGTGAGGTTCCGTTGGTTGACGCATCTCTACAACATCGCGTGGACATCAGGGGCAGTTCCTCTGGACTGGCAGACCAGGGTAGTGGTCCCCCTATTTAAAAATGGGGACCACAGAGTGTGTTCCAACTATAGGGGGATCACACTTCTGAGCCTCCCTGGTAAAGTCTATTCAGGGCTCCTGGAGAGGAGGGTCCGTCGAATAGTCGAATCTTGGATTCAAAAAGAACAGTGTGGTTTTCATCCTGGTCGTGGAACAGCGGACCAGCTCTACACCCTCAGCAGCGTCCTGGAGGGTGCATGGGAGTTCGCCCAACCTGTCTACATGTGTTTTGTGGACTTGGAGAAGGCGTTCGACTGTGTCCCTCGGGGACTCCTGTGGGGGGTACTCTGGGAGTATGGGGTGCCAGGCCCATTGATATGGGTTGTTAGGTCCCTGTATGACCGGTGCCAGAGCTTGGTCCACATTGCCGGTAGTAAGTCGGACTCGTTTCCGGTGAGAGTTGGACTCCRCSAAGGTTGYCCTTTGTCACCGATTCTGTTCATAACTTTTATGGACAGAATTTCTAGGAGCAGCCAAGGTGTTAAGGGGATCATTTTTGGTGACCTTAGGATCACAGCCCTGCTTTTTGCAGAAGATGTGGTCCTGTTGGCTTCATCAGATCTTCAGAAGCAGCCTGGATGAGGATCAGTGCCTCCAAATCCGAGACCATAGTCTTGAGCCGGAAACCTGTAGCGTGCCGCCTCTGGGTCGGGGAGGAGGTCCTGAGTTTAAATATCTCCGATCTTGTTCATGAATGAGGGAAGAATGGAGCGGCAGATCGACAGGCGGATTGGTGCTGGGTCTGCAGTGATGCAGGCGCTGTACCGGACTGTCGTGGTGAAGCGGGAGCTGAGCCAGAAGGCGAAGCTCTCAGTTTAACGGTCGGTTTACGTTCCTACCCTCATCTATGGTCACAAGCTTTGGGTAGTGACTGAAAGAACGAGATCGCGGATACAAGCGGCCGAAATGAGTTTCGTTCGCAGGGTGTCTGGGCTCTCCCTTAGAGATGGGGTGAGAAGCTCAATCACTCGGGAGGGACTCAGAGTAGAGCCGCTGCTCTTTCACGTCAAGAGGAGCCAGTTGAGGTGGCTCGGGCAACTGGTTAGGATGCCTCCTGGACTCCTCCCTGGTGAGGTGTTCCAGGCACGTCCCACTGGGAGGAGGCCCAGAGGAAGACCCAGGAAACACTGGAGGGACTATGTTTCTCAGCTGGCCTGGGAACACCTTGGGATTCTATCATATGAGCTGGCCCGAGTGGCGGAGGAGAGGGAATTCTGGGTCTCTCTGCTTAGGCTCCTGCCCCCGCGACCCGATCCCAGCAGAAAACGGATGGACGGACGGAATATAAAACCATCTTTAAAAGTGGCTGAGTAGCCATTAGCTGTAGCTGTTTATGTGTTTCCACGGGTCCAATGGCTCTGACACAAACACAAACAGTTGAAGATGTACGTGCGGTTAAAACTCCTTCTGAGCTGTTTAACTAACAGACAGGCACAGCTGACTCCAATAGATAATGGCAAAGTTTTAAAGCACATATCAGTTTACAGTGGTTCGTTAGCTACTTTAGGAAGTTGGCCACCTGTGGTGTGGTGCTCAGGCTTGATTGTTGATGTTCATCCACAACTAATAATGTTTTGGAATTAAACAATTAAAAATGGCTTCCACAGTCAATTTACCTTGGGCAACAAAAAAACCCTAATAATTTTATAGATATTGAAAAAAAATTGGTGTGAAAGTAGCAAAGACTGATCCTCGACACACACTCCAAGTGATTCTCATTACACAAGATCTTTATATAAACATCTTTAATTAACCGTTAGTGTCATCACTGTTAGTGAAATATCCCACGAACCACAGAAGAAATTTTAATGAAAGAGTTTAGAAAGTACTGAAAGTACACTTCATTTAAAATGAAAGTTTAGAAAGTACTGATTGAAGAAAGTACTGACCCAGCATCATCAGCAACAGAAACAGCTGAAACTCAGTTTTACAGACCTTGAGCTCAGATTTCACAGAGTAGTAGCTGAGAGTCATTCGCAGCATGTATTCTGAGCCTGGAGGTTTGGCCATGTTGTCTAGGTTTGAACAAAGTACAATTTCATCATTTGTTAAAATAAGTTGATCTTAATGGCATGAAAGGAGGTGGGTGGTATGCATTCTTTCAGTTTAGATGGTTTACTAAAAAGTCCATTATTATAATAAATATCAGATAATGGTCAGTAAATGTATGTTTTAGCAACAAATTATTTTGCACATTGTTATGTGAATAAACCTGAGCTAAATAAACTTTCTAAATGTAGTGTTTGTAAAGAGTCTTTGTAAATGTTTGTAAAACCTGCTATATTTAAAAAATGTTGTGATCATTTTTCTCTCCAACTTCATGTGGGTGTTTTTGTCTCTTTAATAAAATGTATCTCTCTCACTGAAGGTACACAAGTGGGTCCCATATTTGCATATAAAACACACAGCCCAGTGTAGTTAGATGTCCTGACAAGATCTGTGTCTTTGCAGGACACTCGAGATGTGAAAACTAAGACGTTAAAATTACCGAACAAAAAGCCCCCTGCTGCCAACTCCCCATCCAAGCCAGCCAAAGAAAAGGCAGTGAAGCCCAAGAAAGAGATTATTAAACCAGGGAAACCAGTGAAGCCCGACCCAACAGTGAGAACTAAGGTGGTCAGTCACCAGCCTGGCGTGGTGAAGAGCATGACGTACTACAAGGCCTCTAAAACTGATGAAGACCAGCACAGAGGAGGTGAGGCTCTTTAGTTTGGCTTCAACGCTTTGTTTACTTTCCAAGCAAAGTGTGGTGTTCATAAAAAGTCACCTGCTGTGAGCTGAAGCAAACAATGTGCTGAACTTACACACCCATCTGTGTGCGATCATCTGTGTGTGAGCTGCCATGGGTGCTGAAAATAATCCAAAATGAGTTGTTTTTAGCAATCACTTCTGGTCCCACACATTCCTGAAGCAGAAGCCTCCTGCCAGAAGCTGGGCAATAATGTCCCCCCTCCCAACTCTGTGAGTGTTTGTCTGTCTGTATCCAACATACAATATCTCATGGACCACTGCACATATTAGAATGAAACATGAAGAAAATAAAACGTAGATCTGCTTACCTTCTGGATTAAACTCTACTAAAGATGGCTTCCATAAAAACACCTAAAAAATTAACTCTAATCTAACTCATCCCCAACGTTTATTCAAAGCACTCCTGCACAAGAGCGTTGTTTAAGGTTTTGCTATTAACTATTTAATGTCAACTTTGTCGGCTAGCAAAATATCTTGTAAACCACTGCACACTCTCAGGAAATCAGTCAGCACATCTTTACAGCTGATTTACATGTAAAGCCAACCCACATATTAATCCCCTCAGCCAGCCACAGGTTCTTATGAAACATAAACATGGTTATATTTCATTCAATGTTAAAGATGTTAGGTTCAGATTAGGTCTGGAAGTAGCTGAGAGTCATTCTCAATACTCTGAGCAGAGCTTTATATGACATTTTGCATATTTTTTATGTTTGACTGAGACAGCTGAACATAAGATACAGTGTGTAAAATAAGTATTGAACACGTCAACATTTTTCTCAGTAAATATATTACTAGAGGTGCTAATGACATGAAATTTTCACCAGATGTCAGTAACAACCCAAGTGATCCATACATACAAAGAAATCAAACCATAAATGTCCAGAAATGAAGTTATTTGTAATAATGTGGAATGGCACAGAGAAAAAGTCAGAACACGTTCTGGGGGAGGCGGGGGACATTGAGTCTGAATGGACCATGTTCCGTGACTCCATTGG